TTTTTTTAATATGTCAATTTTGTTCTAATATTATAACTTGCAAAAAAACCAAGGCTTTATTTAGATCTATATTAATTTAAATCCAATATTATAAATAAAATTTTGAGTAAGTTGACAAGAAGCAATGTAAAAGCTTTTTACATTAACAGATTGGTCTATATCAGGCAAAAATTATATTTTTCGACTTGTCATCTTCTAGATTTAATTAACAAGTCTAAAAACGCAAACATCTTATAGTAATAGTAGATTTGAGACTGTTTATAGCCAATCCAAATTTCGCTGAGATTATTAAAATGCAAATATAAAGACAAGGGTATTTTTAATTATGCCTGACATATTAAGTAAATAAGAAAAGTAATAATACATTTACATATTATTTATCACCGCCATTCTTTTCGCCAGGGACTGTATAGTTCGCAAGAAACCTTGGAATCGTAGCTATTAGTATGCAAAGTCACGTGGTATTAGGTTTACCTCTTCAGAATATATTTAATTCGTTATAGATGCATGAATAATGACTTACGAGTTTTGCTGTTTCTTTGTCGCCTTGGGTTTTCGACATATCGACATTTCCACCATTGATGGCAGTTTTAATTAGAGGATTCCCCGAAAACATTGTCACATTCGTCGGTTTATGCAAGTGAACTGAGGGGTATACTCGCTCTGGCCGCACGCCATTTTTTTGCTAGTGCCAATCAGGCCGAGCACCCTATTGTTTATAATAGTATTCACAGATAACCAGTGATATTAATATGAACTCGTGGCGGATAATGTACCCAGATTTTCTTGATTCCTTAGAAGGCTTGAACATCGGACGAGCTTAGAAGGTCATCCGTGCCTTGCGGGGGGTCAGTGTTAGGTCGGCTTAGAAGGCTTAAGGTCGTCTGCGTCCAACACTGGCTTTAATGACACGAGGAGCTTGGGAGGTCCTTTGTCACGCCACCAAAGTCTTTTCATATTCTTTTATTATAATCACTATACTCGCCTGCATACAATTCTTGAGCAGCTGCTGTGTTCGCTCGTGTCTTCGATCAGTCGTCTCAGTAGTTTAATGATCATCTCGAGGGACAATATGTATTTTCTTATCTTGTCTCTTGACGAAAATAAACTCCGATCACATTCCTCCAAAAAGTCTACAATATTCCATTCGGAGGACTTCCTCTCGAAATATTCGAAGTGATTGATTTAAAGGGTTATTCTAGTCAGATGTTTTGTCTCGTTTCGACCATGGCAGTTTAATGTTTTTATTTGTTATTTCGTCTCTGACCATGAACTGTAAGAATGAAGTCATCATTGTGTTAGATCAGTGTGCTTGGAGGATACTAACTGAATCATAAGGTTTGCGGGTCAAGATCTAACCTTTCTACGGTATATTACACTAAAATAATATATCCCTACTACTACAAAAGAAATCGCGGTAGGTGGCAACGTCCAAATTAATCCTCACACAGACGTCCTAAAATAACGCGACAAAGAGTCGTCCTTTATTAACTATAATGACACAGATGAACCATGTAATATTTATCCTTCAGATAGAGTGTCACTTGCTGTATATAAAAAATCGGTGTATTAGGTTATATAATGACACATTATACAACACATATTAATTATCAATATTGTAATTCTCACCTTCCCGCAACTGCACAGCACCAAATCCAATGGCTAAGATCGAAGCCAAAAGGCGCGATTAAATAATTATGTCACGGGCTCGATCAGTTGAACCAATCAAAATAATCGTAGTAAATCGTAAAATCGCCGGTTCACAGTGGCTAACTCTGTTTATACCGGAAATGAATCTCTTTACACCGGACGGGCGCACCGTTCGTTTCATATGAAATTATTTGTTTATACCGGAGTCTCTTATAAACTTTCCATATACCGGTTCCGGAAGGACACAGAGAACATGCCAACCCGTTCGGTTATAAACAGAGTTGACTGTATCTGTTATTGGAAATGTTGCTTATTGTTATCGTTTGCTTTTATTTTGTTCTTTATTTTGATAATGATACTTTGATAATAGAATCCTAGTGACTGTTAGGGAAGAAGTAACAGAGTTGCATCTATTGGGGGTATTGCAGCGAAAGCAAACCAGACGAGGGTAGAGAAAAGTTTGCATCGTGAATGTGGGAACGGTGCTATAACGATGATAAGTCCTGTATTTATATATCTGTACGCAGTCAAGTTACACGAAACTTTCTTTGGAAGTTATTACAATGATACTAACTTTGATGCGTTTGTTGATTGAAATAATCGGGAATTTACCTGCCATGTCGCACAACCTGCCAGGTCGTGCAAGCTCAAATATCATCCTTTCATTGGACACTCAGATGGCTTCTCCTCCATAAATAGAAATATTATGGACTGTACGACGTGTCGGGTTGTGCGACATGGCAGGTAAATTCCTGATAATGACAAGGAATTGTAAATTATGTTTATCAAACAAAATTGATAAATTATATTAGAGGGATGCATGTAAACATTAGCCTTATTGTTACAGAGTTCCTGTTATCATTCCTTCGTACTCCCCCTGCTTCGCCCTTTCTCAGTCCCAATTTAAAGATGATATACTATATAATTCCGAAAATCCTCCTTTAACGATAGGAGGTCAGTCACATGCTATAGAAACATTTAGAAGGATGGTGGGGTAGATGCTTATTGTTAAAGTCCCTCGCGATAGTAGGTGCTTATTATTGGAATGCTGAAATCATATGTCAATCACAAAAAAATATATTGGGGTTGTGCCAGCTCCGCCATTAAGCATAGATGCGTATAATTAGGATCATCAAGGCAAACCATTTTCTACCCTTGCAATTGTAATCTCGCATATCGATCTCTTTTCCAATCTGACAATTGAAGCTCCTTCTCGTAATCACATGGTCAATATTAGTAATTGTATATTATTACAGAGATAAATTTTTAAATATAGCCAACTTTGTCTCTGTTGCTTACCTATCAACTTTATGCCTCGAAGAAGCACAGCTTTTTGATTCCAATTTAAATGTGAATATTGATTAAATTTGCCTGCACGTTACATTATTATCCTGCCAATAATGTGTCATATATAAATTCCGTCACCATGTAAATAGACGAATGGTCCCTAAATTTTGCAATGTCGAGACGTGTTATTAAAAATATTGTTACACATCGTAGATAAATACTTTACAGTCATCGGGATATACTTATTCCACAATCAGCCTTTTTCGTTGAGAAGAGATGTTGCATTATCTAATTGCTCAATATAAATATGCTGTATATGTATTGCTTGAATATACTGGTTTTTTTTTATCTTCTTCATAAGCAAAACGGATATCTACCTTTTCTTCATCATAAGTTTATCTTAAATTCCTCATTAATTGGTTAGTTCGTCTCAAGAGTTGATTGTTTATTATGCTTTCCCGCAGAATTATATTATTAACAAATACATCTTAATATTATAGTAATGTGTTGGTATAGATAGTTAAAATTTTTATTATTAGAACTAATTATAATAATAAGGAATTCAACATGCTTGTATCTGATTGGATAATCATTCACATTATATGCAAGATTAATAAAATAGCTTACTCCCCGATATCTATCAACCTCATATCTACAGCGCTAGTCCTCATCCGGTTTAACAAAGTGCACCATTTTACTGATTGTTGTGGACTATTCGTTAAAGCGGATTTCTATCTTATATGGACTCGTTCCAGAAAAAACTTCGTTACGACCATCTTCATTGATGTGATATAACTACAGGAAGACATCTGAAGACATCAGACGACATCAGAACAATAGAAAGTGCTGTCATGACCGAAGGACAATAGCAAATTCTAATAGATAGATAATTAATAGCGTTGCTAAAAATAGATCAATTGGCCTTTTCGAAAGATATAAAAACGGCGTGGATTTCAGTTAGATTCGGTGTCTATTGATAATGTTCCAATAACTTTCGATTCCTCTATTGTAAATATTTCTAATAAATGAGTAATCCTTTATACTCTGAAATACATCGATATAGCATAAAATTCGCTAATCTCTATATCGGAGGATAATTGTCTCTTGTCCCGAGTAGCATATTTTACTTGTTTATAGAAACGCTTATTAGTAATATATTAGTTTTGAGACACCACACGGACAGACCACTGAATTAATCCCACAGTAGATAGTCGTGCATTTGACTCGAGGACAATTACGTTATCTAGGATTAGCGTACACACACTTAACGACGCTGAGGTTTTCGTAAGTGAAAGCCTTGGGATCACAAGGTCACTCACTAGCTGTTAAACTATGAAGCCACGCTCCGCCGACGATAGCTAAATCCCAAGTGTCGATTACTAATCGCTCTCCCGCGGTAGTCTGCGATGTCTGAGTGCGCCAACTTCCCATCTACGCGTGAGGCAATACAAACTATTCTTCCGCAAGCTTCCAACCAAAAAAGCGTGGATGCAAAGCTCCATCTTTAACCATTATCTTAACAAGAAACCGAAAAGAAGACGAGAGCGAGAAGGAGGATGAACAAGAAATCGCAATGTACGAGAAGCAAGCTTGATAATGCAGAAATTCTCGACCCCATTCTTATCTTTTCTGCCAATCAAACAAGATGGTCTGCGTCGGAGTTACGTAGAAATTAGGGAGGAATATACGTCATAATGTCCTCATAAGATGTATTAAAGGTCCCAGCATGGACAAGGGGGTGGCATATTATTAATAGGGACACTATATAAGTCGAGGAAGCATTGCAGTTTTCAATACTTATTACAACAAAGTTGGGTGTGGCTAGCAATGGTAAAAAAAAGAGGAGGCCAATCTTTTTCTTAACACACTGTACTACAGTTGTATTTATTTACGTATTAATCGTTAAAGTATTTATGCTTACGAAATACGAATCTCCACACCTGAAGTACTCTCGAGCGAACAAATTCTTTATATGCTACAGGATCTTTAAAGAGCTGAAACAACTAAACGGTTTGCAAGCCAGCCTATGGTATATCTCATCTATAAGTTACGAGTTCGGAGAGATGAGTTTCTGTGATCGAAGGGCTGAACAGACATCAATCTTTATTTGACAAATTCCTCCAAAAAAGAGCAAATACAGCAAGCTGCTCATTTTTTTACAGCACTATCTTGTGGTATTGAGGATCTTAGCAACTTTTATCTTCAATTAGGTCTAAAACTTGCTCCATCAACACAGCAAGATTTCCCATACATTATTCAACAATTCCAAGACCAGAATGGAAATGTTCAATTACATTTGTCAGCTGCTTGACAATCAGTCAAGACTCTAATTGTTGTGAAATTCATACAATGATACCATGTTAATGCACACACACTTATCTTGCACTTGCTCTATCACTTACACTGCTCTGTGACTATGTCAGTGACAATGGAGAGAGAAAAGATGTTGTATACAGTAATCTTTCCACAAACATGAATTCGGGTTTACCTTCTCATCTACTGCATGGAGTGGTACAGTGGTATTATACTAGGGGTGGTATTATTATTATGATAGGACGACTATTATTGGTTGTAGCGTACTTAAAAAAGATTTTGCATCTACGAAATACGAATTAGCAACATCTTGCTTGCTTTAATATGAGAGAAAGGCACGTATTACATGTAAACAGCTCTTGGTGTTTTAGAGAGGAATATATGGTGATATAAATAAGCATATTTAATAATAAACTCTGTACCATGGTACTTTACAAGTATTTCGTGTAACAACCCGATCATAGTGGTATTTTACATTCCGTGAGCTTCAAAATGACTATGCTGGGGGGGGGGGGTACTTTAGTCCGAGAAATATGGTACTTTGTTGCCAACTCCACACCCTCTAGCTTAAATAATGCCTTTCTCACAATACTTTCTTCATTGCAGTCTGCACACTGCCTCATTATTCTTACTGGCATACACATCCCTAATGTCATGGTATGAACTTCTCTAAACTTCTAATTCCTTGTTCGATTGTTATTATGTCATTCTTGCCACTTCAATCCCCCTTCTAATTTTTTGCTTTCATCAGCTCAATTGCTTTCTACCATTTTAGCTATTACTGGTTATTTGTTGTGTTACGTGATCTTTTACTTACCCAAGTAATTTTAATATTCTCGATTTATCTGCCCACTCAAATTTCTTTCTTCCAATTGCCACATTATTTCCTGACTAACTTTCTGTTTGACAACGCGTATAACTAATTTTGTGCTTTTGCCCTTGTTATTGTGGGGTCCGTATTATTTCATCGACAATAATTTCACCGACAATTAACTACCAAAAAAGGATAACTTCGAAATAATGTTGGTGAAGGTTTGTCGGTGAGATGATTGTCGGTGAGATGATTGTCGGTGAAATGATTGTCGACGAAATGATTGCCTCCCGTTATTGTGCTTGAAAAGCCAGTAATATTATAAAAGTAAGAACCTGGTGCAAAAGTTGATGATTTTGTTACTGGTCAAATGGGTAATGTAATGAGTTTAATTTGAGACATGCTAACGTTTGTTTTGTCGGTTTATAGATTTAACAGTCGTTTTATTCCTCGAATTAAATTTAGCTATTAAAAATAAAGTGTAGATAAATCGTGCTATTAAACGATAACAACCAGCTTTTTCGGTAACACGAAAGTTATTTATAGATATGAGATGGCTAATTATTTAATTAATATTAAGTTTAATATCAGCGACAAACTTTGATGCTTGCTGATTTATCAGAAAAAGTTAGCCAATTAATTATTTATTGTGGAGTCTGTTGCTATACAGTTACGTTTCAGTTAACCCGTTATTACATACATAATTAATTGATGTAACAGTACAAAAATATTACCACGCCTTGTATTAACCCGTTTGTCATTGTTTGATCATGATGTAACATTAATTACTATTGTTTGTTATACGAAATCGCATGAAATCACAGACAGTTCAATGCAGTCTATATTGCCAAATCCACATCCAACAATCGACATTAATGTAAATACTTCAGAGTCATGCTTTCATACGGCCCAAGAGTGATTATCAAAGTTGTTTAATCTGGATTACTTGTAGAGTAATCTATGCTTTATCGTGTAATTACAGTTGGAAAATAAAGCCTTATCGCGATCGGAACTCTTGGTGATGAATAATAAGTTTAAATGGTATAGGCAATTCCGATGATAAACAAAGCTTATTTACGGACAAATGGGATGTTATTTTAATTGCGTTGAAAGTCTTGCATCGAATTTCAGCTACCAATGAAAGTTGGTTAAAGAGCGTTGTAGCAAGTAAACTTTGACTTTATATAATTAAAAAAAAGTTGGTCAAATATTTCATCGCTTATCTGAAAGATTTGCGTTGTTCTTATTCCAGAAATAAAGTTGATTTATCTCTAGTGCATTAACACGTTAATATTGATAATAGCACATCTGATAACTGTTTGTTCAAATGAGTCTGCTAGCAGTCTCTATTTCTTTATAGGTCTTGATCTGGTGCTTCACAGTATATTGAACACACAATATAAGCAAGCCTGTTCTATGTGTTTAGCAATTTTGTAAATAAGTTGGTTTTTTTTATACTTTCCTCTTCCAGGATATCATCAGACGTAGCGACAGTGAAGATTAGGAAGAACTCTCAACTTTGACCGCCTCAATATTAGCGCACATTTTCTGCTGTTTGAATTTAGTGAGGCGGTGATATGATAATGCAACGATATCCATTACCATATCAATCTATAGTTTAACAGGAAACGTAAGTTAAGATGCATGTCGCGTGATATATAGCTAGAGATTACTGGACACCCTGTTAATTTCGACTACCGTTGCTTCATCACTGTGCACACAACAAGAACGTAATATTTGATAGCCGATGAAGGTAACCAGTATTCTACCTAGTATAGTATGTCCGGGTTACATGAGTCTAATAAAGGCCGTAAGAATAAGAACATGCTATAACGATCACTTAGCTGAAAACACAAGAATAACACTATACGGCTATATGAGAGGTACAACAGTGTCGAAAATCGTCAGATGTGTCCGCTAAGTAACAATCATAAAAAAGGCATACTGTAAGAAACGGTCTATATGAATAAGTAAATGTTGTTTATGTCACTAGGAAATTGACTAACATCTCTTACATACATATTTAAGTTTGGAATCGCCAATAGAATTTACATATATCAGTACAATGACATATATAATTATGGGGGAAAGACTGAACAGTATATGCAAAAATAAACAGAACAGTGTTATGGATAGCATGTCGAAATTATAAATACGGGAAAGAAACCTGAATTAGTTAACAGCGTAGTATGTCTATACCTCAGTTGAACACGAATCGGCCCATAGACTATAATTGTTTCATGTATGACAGATTGTAAACATATTGTCACTTATGCATACTATCTTAAGACGAATATACTATAAACGTCTTCCTTTAATTGTTGTGGTTGAATGCCACCAGAAACATAACTAGCGATACAATACCAATATTAGCCTCGACAAATTTGTCTAACAATACACGGGAGTGTCAGCACTATTACTATGTACATTCCGGTCTATTGTCACAAAAAAAGGAATTAGTTTAATGTTACTGTTTTACAAGATATTCGAGAATCAAAAACATCAAGATTGTAGAATATACTGGTGTATGCTACACAAGGAGGAACCTAAAGATGCATGTACCAAAAAAGGTTATTGCCTTATACTTAATATTAAATGTTTGTGTAATGGAACGTATATATTCCCGATACATTAATATGCTGTTTGTTTAATAGTAAAAGGTTATAGAACAGGAAGATCAAATGCTTCATCCTTTTGGAAGACAAAGTATTTGTATGAAGCAAGAAAGAATCACACTTTGGTCCCCTTATCAATTCTTATACAGGCATGCTTGGCATTGTTAATCAATGATATTAATGATATTAATAGACATGTGTGCTTGGCATTGTTTTAATAAATGACATTTATTAGGCATGTATGCTTGGCATTTGCTTAATAAATGATAGGTGACAACTGAAAAACAATAAGAATAAATGTTATTATCAAATATTTATCAATCTCCATATGCTATATAAGTTAATTATCGTCGCCAGGGTAAATTAAACCTTTGAAAGGCAAGAGTATAACAAGTTAGTATATTAATATGTATCCCTGAGAGATTATATAGGCATTGAAAAGGATGGGGGACACTTCCTGAATAGTATTGGTCTGTTCGTTCGATTTGCTTTAATTCATCCTCAGTTTACGTAAGAATTACTAAATTAGTTCTATGTTGGTTTAATTTGGTAAAGGATTAACAATGTCAAATGCTCCCTGTTTTGTCGGAACAAAGAAAAAGAAAAAGCAAGAGGAAAGATAAATCAAATAAAATCGATACATTCTATATTGATAGCCATTAAAAGATTGCACGAGCACGCAGAGAGAATGTATGCACAAGAAATAGTATATTAAAGGATACACGACAGATAGGTTAATTAATATTTTTCTTACGACATTGACAGCATTAGCAAACACATCGAATAGACTTCATCATATTTTACCAATTACCGACCACCCTTGAACCCGTCTACGAACCTGTATGCACAACCCCCTTTCTATATCCATCTGACTTCGTATCACCAAAAATATCCAATCCAAGACGATATTCCCCATCGTTAACAAAGTGCTCGGTGACCTTTCAACCTACAAAATACTTCAATTTTTGTAAAGTCTTATACAGCGCCTATCAACACCTTTCAACCCTTAACTATTTCTCCTGTTAATAATATTACTCCCTTCTCTTTCAGCCGGAGTGACTGTCTAAAATTCATATAGGCACACCAGGATGGCCGCAGCCCAACCGAAAACACCCCAAACGCCATTACTATTCGGTCTTTCTATGAGCGACATGAACAACACACTTACCGTTAATATACCGAAACAAGCGGCTTCTTCGCTTCCTAACTCGCCCTCGGTTCTGAGTCAAATGTATCCTAAACACAATGAAAATGGATATTTGAATATACCAAGTATTATAACCTCAAGAGAGGGAGGAAGTATGAGCGTAAATAGCCTGAGCAATAATAATATGAATAACGGTATGGCTAGCAGTGTATCTGACTCTTTCACTCTTCTCGGTAACGAAGCCGGAAAGAACCAAATACACCAGGCGATCTCTGCTCCTGTGACGCCCACCAGCAGTGGATTCGGTCAGCCTCCGAGAAGAGGAGGTAAAGGGAATGGAATGAATAATGGCAATGGAAACAATGGCAATAATGGCAATAATAACGATGGAAAGCCTACTGGACCAAAGAGTAAGTATTGAATTTTAAGTAGATTAGATTAGTTCAACGGATAAGGGAATGGGTGATAGTCGTCGACGATTCATTTGGTCAAGACGGTCGCTACAACGTTGGGCCTCTGGAAGTATTGGTCTTTTGGTTTGACCGTCATCAATTTCGTCAGTAATTCGTTATTGATAAATTACGCGTCCTAGAGAATGGACTATAAAATAATCAAGATGGAGAAATGATATCTATTCCTAAAATAACAGACGGTTGCTATGGGAAGGATAATTTATGTCTAGAAAATTGACCGATAAGCATTTCAAGCAATATTTTTCAAGCACTCTTCCTAGCATTGATATGTTTTTTCAATACTTTTTATTCATTGGATGGGGAAAGTCTGCGTTAATATGATTTCTAGCAAGGACTTGTTCGCTACATCCCTTTTCTCTTGAATGGTATTGAGTAGCGATTACAAGAGAAATTGTAATCACGCATTTAGTCTATCTTTTCGTTATAAGGGATACCTTTTCTCAAAGGATGAAATTTCCAATCGTTTCCTTTCATGAGAGGTGTCTTATTTGACAAGTGTCATGAATACTGAGAGTTAATGATCAAGAATCACGAATTAGCGCTTCAATCAGTCAAGTTTGATTGAGTGGTTATCTGTTGATCCATTCACCATTCGTCTGCACGACTTTCTGATACTCATTCATTTCTCTTTCCTCTTTTTTCCCCTCCCGTACATTACTCCCTTGCTCTGCTACAGGTAATAGTAATCTAGCCCACATCCCTTGCAAATTCTACAAAAGCGGCGCATGCACTGCTGGTAAGAACTGCGTCTTCTCCCACGAGAAAAACCCGTCACCCGACAACTACGTATGTAAATATTACATAAAAGGCAACTGCAAATTTGGATCAAAGTGTGCGCTATCCCATGCTACTCCCGCCGATAGAAAAAACCCTCGATCCAATAAACAACAAACCCAGAACATATCCCGTCTTAATGGAAACAACAACAACAACAGCAACAACAACAACAACAGCAACAGTAATAACAACACAAACAACACAAGCAACAACACAAACAACACCAATGGCATTAATATTGGAATCAACAGTATGATGGCTAATGCCAACATCCCGGAAATCAGATCACCAGCAATGCCACCGAATGGATATTCAGATAACGACTTTCCACCAATGAATTCACCCAGTTCGTTTTCTCGCATTCCGATAGTCAATGGCGAATTCTCAGCTACTCGTCATATGAGTCAACTGACAGCCTCACTGACATCGTATCCAGAGGACATGAACGTACGAACTCCAGTTTCACCTCAGTTTGGAGATCATCTGACCGCTCCGATGCAGATACACGCCGCACATCGGCGCTCGCTTCCCGACATCTTTCGTTATCCTCAAGACGCATATGGCACTAGTCCATATCAACTATCAAAGCCGCTTTACATTCCTGTTTCAATGACTCCTGATAATAACCTCTTGTCCCCAACTATGAACGGACCGCTGCAGAGCATTCCCGAGAATTGTGCTCAGCATGATGATATCCTGGATGATAGTATTCTGTTTGACTATGAAGAATTTCTGCCATCGTCGTTGAACGATCTGTTGACACCGGTGGAAAGAGAAAGGAGAAGAAGCAGACAAGAAGAAACGTTCGAACCTTCACGTCGTATATTCCCACCCAATCTACGACCGCTTCCGGTTGATACGACGCATAAAAACATGTACAACAACAACATCGACCCATCTCACATCCATCCATTTGTCGGTCGATCGTTACCGCACGGAGTAAGTCTCGGGCTTGCTGCAAACTATCTTCCCAACAATGCCGACTCGACTCACTTGTCGCCGACCGCTCAGTACGAATTCAATCCAACGATTCGATCTCCTACTTCTCCGTCTTCCACGATGAATCCGTTTTCGCCAGTCGATACTTGGCATCCACTTCTCTCGAATACTCCTCACCATACTTCTCCGACGACTTCCTCTCATCACCTTCCAAACCCGTTTACCTTGCCTGACCACCGATCGCATAGCTATGCGACTCCTGCTATAAATATCCCATCACATGATATGTATTCGCCTACGTCACCAATATTTCATGACCCAGTTAAAAGTCAAAAAAATGGAGGCAACGGTTTGGGAAGAATGCTCACCCCTGATCCATTCCCAACGGTTACTCCTTTCTCTCCCGACGACGATGTCCAGTTCCAATTTTACATGGAAGACGACAAAGGAGAGTTAGGAGAAGTTGTGCATAGTGGAGAAGGTGCTCTTGAAGACAAGGACGGAGTTAGTAATGTCGAACATGGTAGTATCAACACGAACGGAACTGCGACTGTGGCCGCAACCGGAAGTGAGAAAACGGAACAAGACGAGTCGTCTAAACAACGGCTAAGCTATTCAGATATTACTAAAACAGGAATTAAAGACTCCGGTGCTGCTGGAGGTATTAGTATTGACTCTCGCAGATATGAGCCGGTATGTTAACAAAAAAAAAAAAAACTTCTCGCTTTTGTTTTGCGAGACGGGGAGCATATTAAAAAAAATTCGTCATTATAAAATAGTACATAAAAAAAGTTTTGGATTTTTATAACAAAGAGGTTTATTATTATTGTTTTATTGTCATAAACTTGTAAAGCATAAAAATTTATAAAAGCGCAAGAGCGTAAAAGTATTATACTTGCTTTAAATAATCCCTCAACCAGAAAAAAAAAAGAGAAAAAAAAAAAAGTAAAGAACATATAATATAGGGGTTTGTAGTTTATGCATAGTCTGTTTATTGGCACTTTTTACGGTAGCCTTTCTTTTCCCTGTTCCCAAAGACAAAAAAAATTATATATACTGTATATACCAAGCCCCCTCTCCCTCCACCCCATCCCCCATAACTTTGTTATTGTTATTATAAAAAAGCCTTATTCTTTTGTTTTTTCTTGGTTCTCTACGGAGAGTACATAAATATCTGCGTTTATTCTTTTCTTTTTCTAGTCTTTTATATTATTCTTCTCTTTTATCTTTTTATATTTCTTTATTTCTTTTCGTTATCCTCTTTGCTCTTAAAATCTTTTTATTTGTGTAGAAAAAAAAAGTTTTTCAACAGAAATTTGCAAACAAAATCTCTAACAAAAAAATTAATAAAACTGTGCTTCTATTCTCCACTTTTCTTCGTCTTTCTAACTCATCTATGTACATATACATCTATCTATCCATCCATCCATCCTTACATACCTATCCGTATTATCTGTCTAATCAATTACCGTAACATCATCTAACACATTATATCATTTATCCATTATTCTCAACACAATCGATCCTCGCATCGTCAATGTTATCACAACGTCCTGAACGTTTGTATGTATCTCAAAGCTATGTCCCTTTGCCATGGCAGGAATCTGTAGATACGGTGATAGATGTCGTAATCTACATGGATTATCATGTCCCAAGTGTCGGAAACTAGTCTTGCATCCGCGGGGGTCTGCCGAGGAACATCAAGGTAAGGAGACGTCGGGGAAGAGAGGGTTTTGGTTTTATTATGCTTTCTGGGACAAGTATAGATTGGTTCATATCTTGGTTTTCTTTCGACATCGCTAGCACATATATCAAGTTGTAACCCGATTACTCAGGAAGATATTGAATGTGGAATATGTTATGATAGAGTACTCTCCAAACCCGATGCACGTTTCGGTCTTTTGAGTAAGCATCAATCGTCGGATTTATATTTCTACTACATCTATTTTAAGATTGACCATACGCCAATTGTTTTCTAGACTGTGATCATGCATTCTGTCTATCATGCATCCGTCAATGGCGAAGCAATAACACAATGAACAATCAAGTCATCCGATCATGTCCAGTTTGCAGAGTAACTACATATTTTGTGACTCCTAGTTTGCGCTGGATTAACAATCGGGAAGAAAAGGCGAGAGTTGTTGAAGAGTACAAGCGGAAGTGTAGGTAGGTTTTACTGCGCGGAGAGTAAGAGAAGAAAACGGGGGGAGGGGGGTGTTGTATCTATCTTTGATCTATAACAAGGTTCTTTACCTTTTTATTCTTCACTGCCTCTGTTGTCTCTGCTAATCAACAATTGTGTTTCCATACCTTTGAATTACCAATCCAACAACCTCAGTACAATTTCGTGTAAGCACTTCAATTATGGCAACGGTCAGTGTCCGTTTGGTACATCCTGCTTTTACGCACACACGTACCCGGACGGCCGAAAAGAGGAATCACGTATCAGAACTGTTTGCAATGGCGAGGAAGTAAAAGTAATAAATAAAGTGCGACTGTGGGATTTTGTCGAGGATTGGGCGCAAGGACAGTATTATGATCAGCGCGGTACCGAACAAGATGGACCCGAAGAGGACGACGGTATTGAGTGGGCTGGAAATGAAGATGGAGGGGATGGGACGGATGGACTGAATGCCGACGAAGATAAAGAGGCTAACGAGGTTGAAAGCGACGTTCGGGCGAACGTGAATAGTTCAAGTAGTGGAGGACGTCCGTTGAATCCATATTTGCCAGAGTTTGTTCCGCTTAATCGAGGGGGAGGAGGATCGTGAACGAGTGAGTGCTCGTGTCAGTCTAAGTTAGAAGTTTGTCCCTTTCTATTTTCTTGTCGTTAGCATAGATATATGACGTGATAAATGAGTTCAATGTATACACATCTAATAAAACAAAAGTTCGTCTGGTTTTTACATGTTTAAATTTGATTTATTAGTTAGTCCCTTGCTTTACGTTATTGTCTGTTAGCCAAGAAGAATTAATACACCTTCCCAAAAACATTGACCCTTCGTGGTAGCAAGAGACCTCCGGCGGGGGGGGGGGGCATTCCATATAATAGACCACTTTAGATTATAAGTAATTTACAAAGTAATATTTCCCTATTTCACTTCCATTCACAGAATATCATGCAAAGAATATATAACCATAACTAATACCCATATGTAAATACGTAATAGGGAGATAAAAAGTCCTTGATATATTAAATATCCCCCGAGTTAAAAAGAAGGACACAAATTCTCGTCAACCATCCTTAGTAATCTCTTCCATATTAACAATACCATGATCATTACTGTCGGTCCACGTAACCGACGACCTTAGTGGCGATGCAACAATCGGCGGTGGAGATCTGAACAATTGAGACTCTGAACCAGCAGATCCGTTTCTAATGTGCGACAGTGAGGCAGGTACTGGGGATGCTAAACCTGTTGTGAGGGTATCCGTTTTCGGTTTTGCCTTTGTATTAACGCTACCGAAAGCTATGATGACTAGCGACACAGTGTTGAGAATGAACAAGGCCATAATGCCGGCACTGGCGTAGAATTTACTGAACGATAGGTTGTTTATGATGTGTTCATAGAAGCAGGCAAAGCTTACGAGGAGCGAACCCATTAAGAGAAAGGTGCTCACAAATGAGACGTGTAGGAATTTCATCTGGTAGGAAATGAAGAGATACAAAGTGAGTTATTGGGCGTAAGTGTAGGTGGGTGGTGGGTGGTAATAATAAGTAAAGATCCGCTATACAATGCGATGTGTGAATCCAATCTCCAACGTCATTGATTATTACTCGAGCTAAATACTAGTTCAAAAAGTTGCTTTCGCACACCCTCCCCCTCCTCTCTTTTCCATCAGTACCTACCTTCAAAACACTCAACCTTAGTCTACGATGTTTTGCTTCCAATTCCTTTCCACGAGGACCAAACTCACTAAATTTCCCAACTGATCCTTTCTTTTTCTTGTCATTTCCGCTTGTCCGACTCATAGCTTTCAACAAGTAACTTCCCTCGCTCGCGATCTCTGTCAATTTGTTTCCGTATACAACATATGCTATAGCGATTGAGAAACAAAAGACACCACCTGCTCCATATTGGATGGCATATAATATGTCTAAGTATTTGTTTATGTTGCCTTGTTGCAAGGTTGATTCTTCAGAAGGTGATGATTCCAGATCTTGTTTTTTGGTGAGAAAGTATCCAGTTAGCGTGGCCGTGGTTATATTAAAAACCAGATAGGCGACGACAAAGATGAGGTACGCGACCATTATTGCGCGGATATTGGGGAGGTGGAGAGAGAGTTTGTGGGCTGGGGTTTGGCGGTAAAAGTGCATCCGAGGGATTGTTCTTAGTACACCGGCAAGATATGCGGCTACGGAGACTGCCCCGATGTACCAGGAGATATGATCCACCATTAGACGAGCGATCCATTGAGAATCGAGCAAGTTATAGAGTAGGATCGCAGACATGGCTATGCGGGCTACAGATAGCATGCAATGACACGAGTTAGCAAGTGCTCGACAATACTGTATTAGTAATTTGTATCCGCATCATTAACTGTCACACTTACTTGCGTTCCAGAATATCTGAGTAAACAAAAAACCTTCCATTGCCAGAAATCCGCTCACGCTGAATAACCGACTTTGAGGCTTGTTATGTAATTTCCATGCTAACAGCCCTGCCGAGAACAGAAGATTGAATACGCCTAGGCATGCGGATACAGTGTGTACCATTCGGAAATAATCCGAACCTATGCAATTCGTGACATTGATAACCCATCTAAAGTTGAACACGTGATGTTTTAGTTGTATGGACATAGTAATAGTATAGTAATAATTGTACTACTGCTTGTTCTTTTGTCTCTCTACTACTAAATATCGATTACTGATTATAAAGAATACACGTCTCTCTTAATGTTGGACAAGAAACTAGATACTCTTTACTTACTGGCAATTTTGATACGTCTCGGACGTAGTGTTATATGGTAATGTTGCATCCTGTGTTTCGTTGCTCGATAAACCCATCCTCTACCGTTTTTCGGCTCTCTCTTTGATTTCTATCTATTATTGGGACGACGTTTGATTGTAGAGTCGTCTCTGTGCTTTTAAAGCGGGAAAAACCTATGCGGGGGCCGTCCAGTTTGTATATAATCTACTCTATTGTGAATTATTGGTGCTGTTTATCCAACTGTAAGCAAGCCTCCCTGCAATAATCTGATTGATATCCCTTAATCCGATCGACTGATGCCACTCCACCTTATTTTGTGGGGAAGGTATTCGACGACTTTATAAGTTTGGGGGGGGGAATGGAACGGCCAGTATTATATAAAGGATAATGAATATGCAATGCCCGGAGAATTTTATTTAGTGAATGAGGGGTAAATATATTAATACAACATACATGTGATACAGTAAATCACTATTGTTCCCCAACCTCACCCATTGTCTACGCATCTTCTTGTTAAACCCGTTACGTTGCATAAATGCATTTCGTGGCTTGGGCGTGCGTTTATAATTTTAAAGTGAGTACAAGGACGTTCCGGAAAGCAGTCGTATATGACTGTTCACTGCATGCAATTCAAAATTAGATGGCGTAAGAAAAAACGCTAATTGAAAAGAGAACTTTGCCAATATCAATATCCACTCATTTGCGAAATACCAGATGTCTTGTTGGTCAACAACACGGCATCGGTAAAATGTCAATCTCCAATATGGATACCATTTCATCGCAATTTCAGATTGTGTAGTGATGCTAACAATAGAATGTATTGACAGAAATGCGATCTTGGCGAATGATTGTGTCTTGATAGGCACGAAACCGTCTGCCCGAGACCAGTGTAACACCAGCTTTATAGCCGATGATCGCAATAGTTTTATAACTGCGTCAATAAATGGAATCTAATTTGATGATCAGTCGACAAGGGCATTAGCTCGTTTTGATCAACAAAAGGTGAAACAAAATATTGGCGTTTACTACATTGGATACAATAATTAAAAAACTTTGTTAATATGTTTTGTATGCGATATTAGGCTTGCTTCTTAACTGTATTCAACAAGTGCTAAAAGAATGCCATTGCCCATCATAAGTTTACAGTGTTTTCTTGATTTGTAATAAAAAAAGCGCCTCACCAACAATGTTTGAGCAAGCATTTGATGCGTAACAATCTTTCGGAACACCGGTTTCGTAAATTGGGGCATTATTATCATGACGAACATTTATGTTGTTTAACGATAAAACCATTTAGCATTTTACTAACATGTGTCGAGAATTAAATTTGTGATTAAATATGGCTAAGACAATAATACTGTTTAACACTTTATTATCCAGTTTCCATAAAGGTTCGACTGTTTCTGATATCTTTAACCAGTAATATCAATCGTAGAACCTACACAGCTTGTAATCAGGAAAAAATTCCCATCTCGTAACAAATGGGTTTAGACTGTGTCTTTGATCACTCCATTGGGTTAATAAACCATACTCTAGAACGCGTATATAAGACATTCCGTCATTAACAAGATTAAGGGATAGATTTCGAGTAATGAGCGCATTGGTTTATGGAATCATTGTCAATTTTTCACTTTAGGTCACTAAATCTTTTACCATAGCCAATCATAGTATACAAACGCATAGTATGCATCTAACAGTGGGCAAACCATTCGAAATCAGCATTGCTTTAGAAATTTGATTTTTACCACTGTGTTTTGAAAAGTGCAACCAAGAATAAAAATAAATCTGATCTTTTTCTCTTTTCAATTTCCTATCGTCGACAATCTACCTGGATAGATGGCTTTGTTTTATTGTTGTTATCACGCCAATGATGGAAATATACCATGAGGAATCAAATTATGCTTCAAAAACGGTTGTTTTTACTGAAAGCAGTCACATGAATAATATCTGGCTTTAGTTTATTGCCATTGCATGTACATTAAAACTGTCTGTCGTTCCTTGTACCCGGCCTAGAAAAAGTCTGCAATGCATGCGTACGTTGAGCTTAAAGTTTCTAGTATCTTTAGTGTTTCTTTATAAACGATAAGTTTGTTTTAATACAACTAGATGTCTTTTGAAATTTTGAAAGGCGAGAATCACTCGTTAATAATAGCACAAAAGCCAAGATCGACAACTCGGCGATTACAAGACTGTGCAGGAGTCAATCATGTCCTCATATCATGTCATTATCACGCATCAGTCGTCGTACGATTTAAGGAGATTGGCGTTCGAGATTATTGTTACAAGATCTTTGTTTGTCAGTGCAATACCCGATGCTTCTATGATTATGACATCTTTTGTACTTATTTGATCGGGAACACTGTGCGAGTGGTGTCACAAAATGCGATCTACTAATTTTCTGCCAACTTGGGGTTTCTATTATAAATGTCCTTTGTGCTATCCCTCATTACTCCATTAGTAAATGTTATTGATCTTGTTGACCCGTGACTTAAACTTAAAAGATAGACGTTATACTTACGAATGCGTCATTTCTTACAATATGCTACCTTTTTGATAGAGAGGTCATTGAGAAAATTATTTGTAGTTGTAGGATAACTTTTTATCGATTATTCCTTTATTAAGATGTGATGCATTTTTCTGTTCAGAGATATAACGTACGTAATTTGGCAAGTATTTCACTTAAAATTACAAGTCGCTTGGATCACTCTTTTCATATTCGGTTATTATCTTCACATACAGATATCGGTATGATTTTAAAAATTATCGTTAAATTGAAATACGATTTATTATCATTATTATGTTTAATTTATCCAATAATTCATTTAGATCATTGTATCATTGAATAAGTGAGTTTAATTCTTCTGCACAAGCTGCATTAGAATTTATTGGTATTGCAGACAATTACCACGCTACTATTGTACTTCAAGATTAGGACTGTCCTTTCGTCTTTTTATGGTTTGGACTCTTAAATCAATGGTTCTTCTGTTCGAATCATCCATATGCTTTCAGATAATACTCCTTTCTATATGCAACGTTACTATTGTACGCACTATAAGGTAAAGACGCCCGATCTAAGCTCTATCAACATTTTGCGTTACATAAATCGGTACTCTGGTCGTAAGATAAACGCCTCTCAATACTTACCTTATCAATGTTATACTAGCACAAATGCCGTATTTCTACAGGCTAATCACCAGTTAAGATACATATTGTTGATTCTCGCTGAAAACCGACAGCTTCACGATATCCAAGTCATGACTACCATGATGTATAGAATAACCATATGATATCCACTTCGCGTCGTACGTTGAGGTACAATAATTGGTTAAACCACCGTTTGGATTGTATAATCCGTATGTTTGCTTCGCATTTGCTTATATTAACCTAATACTAAAACCAATGCGTATGTGGTAGTGTCCCCGAACTGTAAGATCCAATTCGAATCTAGAAGAATTCGTACTGTTCCCACATTCGAGGAACGATTGGGTTACATCTGCGTTATATTTCGAAAAAAGGTTCATAATGCTTCTTCCATATCTTGAACCGCTTAGATTATGTAACTCGAGCACGTTCTGATTTATGTTAAAACTAGCTTTAGCGCGGCCTTGCGTAGCTTGGCGATAAAGTTGCAACTCATAGTGTACATATTATTTTCGTACTTACTCTTTACGCATACTATAACCTAATAGTTATTATATCATAGTTCTGAATATTTGGGTAGTTATCTACCTCAAACTTTATCACTTCGAGAGCAGGTAATCTGTATTCGTCGATCTGTCTGAGCTGATATAAAAAACATACCTACACATTATAGTTGTTATATGGATTGTATTAAGTTACTGTTTTCTTAGTGTCAATGGTGGAAAGACATATTCCCGTATTTACTATAATATGTTGCATTTGGATCATAAGCATCCAGAAGATTTATTGCTTTTATTTATAGTGAGCATCCGATAAAAAAACTTATTAATTATGCTGTGCTTGATTATGATGTTCTGACATTAATACCAATACTCAGCATTTCCTCTACGTGTTCTATGTGTCTCGATGTTCACGTAAGTACAGCTGTAAGCGCGGAAATAAAAAGCAGGCCCTTAAGTCGTACTCACGAGCCACTTTACGATGATGACTTATTGTATCATTTCTATATTTATTTTTATGTATAGTTGGTAGTAAAAACGCGCAAACTTGAATGCAACACCTTGGGGGAGGGCTATGTTGCATTTATGGGAATTTTACATTCACGGAGAGTTACTTAATAGGAAATAGATTTAACGATTTACATCTATTAACACTAAACAGATTTCCTTTTATTATAATTTTCAGCTAAAGTTACGTAAAAAATTTGGCTATCAATATCCTTAATTGTTAACTAAGAATTGTGTTATGCTACTTTGTTTCATTGTTTTTCGCGAGTTAATTGCTGGCTCCCTCTTGTTGAATTAAAAACGTCTTTAATTTCTAATGCCTCATTTAACTCACTATTGGGTTTCATTACTATTATTGTCAGTTTCTTCATCGTGTTCTCCATTAAATAAAGAAATAATCACCAATTAAAATTCTTCTGCTGTTTCAAAGCTATTGTAAACAGGATCAAACCCAAACGCTGAAAAAAGAAAATATCAATTCTTTCTTTAACATAAAACTGGGTTAATGTTGTGCGCAAATAGTGATGTTTGGAACTTGATATTGTATATAAACCATTGCACTAATCATTTTTCCGCAACAAATAACATTACGCGAATCACGCAGTTACTAGAATGGGATTATATAGGCTTTAAACGCTGACGGCACTCCCGTTTGCCGGATCACGACAATAATTAACTGCTCTCGAGATAAATAGAACGACTACCTGTCGCTGGATTAATCATCAGTATTTCCGTTTGGGGTACACCTGGGTATTAACGCGTTATCCTCACAATTAATTATCGTAATTCGCTACTCAGATAATCGCAGGACAAGAAGCGATTATCCTTTTCCGATATAGGAATTAGTGATTTTAACTATATCGAATAATTCAGGGAAATACGTAAATAGTTTATGATCAGAGTAAATGCAATACTCGTTTATTAATAAGATAAATAAAGGAATCGGAAGATATATATTGATCTTTACACTAATTGAGACTTTAAAACACATCTTCAGTAAGTTCTGTTGGTTGCCTTGTTCTTGGTTCCGTTCTTGTATGTATTTGATTCTTCCCTTGACCTCCTCTGAGACGTTTGTTAAGAATTCCCTATCCAATCTACTCGTTTGGGATGGTAAATTCAAACGTTTGTTGTAGAGTATATACTAAATCGTCAGGGTATTTTGGAATGGACAGGAACGCTATGCTTTTCAATAACTCGATAGCACCGTGTTGTATTGTCTTAAGAACGCGTCAACCGTATTCTGAGATACTCTATGTCAAGATTGTTGATGCTTTCTCGGAACGTGACAATTCTTCGGTTTGATACTGGATCGGGTAACACTCTCCGCAAGCCTTTACTTCGGATACTTTGTTGTCGGATTGCGGGGAATTGCACGCAAGTTGCTCGTATGCAAAGTGGTGTCTAAGATACTTTCGCCGATTTGTATCAGGAGTTCTCTCGTGGTTCCTCTTTTGTGTTCCAGGTTGCAATGTTTTATCTGTAGGTCGTTTTTGTATTCAATTTAAAGTGTGAGTTTACTTCCACGGAATCCCCACCAACTGTCGAGTCAAATATCACGGGGGAGTTGAATGACACGTGACTCGTAGAGATTTAGCTGTCTTTGAACGATTACACAAGCTATGCAACTTAAACAAAGTCCTACTACTAAATTAGTAATAAGAACGACAAGTATAGGATGAATATTTACATCAGTGTTTTTCAGAAACTTGATCAGAATTACTGAACCATACCAACGGTAATAAAGTAGAGATTGCTGTACAACAAGTAGCAAAATTGGGGTACCGAAAAAAGAAAGCGTTGTCGCTGTGCCGCAAAAAAGAATAATTTCAAAAAGGTGATTGCCACACTAGTAAAACTTTCTGTTGCATATAAGAGTAAAGTGATAATATTAATATGAGGTAGTTCAAGATTGCAGAGACATATGTTGTTATTGGCACTTTTTTTTTGTGAATAGAGGCGGAAAAATATAAAACATGAACATACTCAAGGTTAGAAAGATTACTTTTCTGAACCTTCTAAATTGATGTCTTGGCACGAACGCAAGCTGAAAGAATTACAGTGACAATTATATAGGAAATATAATTTTTTGCCTCGCAATTAAACATATCAGAAAGTGGTAATGTTGCTGACACGTTAGGGAACAAACAAGCCAGGAAGAATAGAGTTTTGAAGGTTTCCAACATTGCTCGTTTTAATATCACTTACAAACGTTTTCGAAGATCGATAGAGCAAAGAGATTGCATAATAATATAGTGAGACATCGTACAACTGAGTTTCGGACCAAATAATTGGATTGTTTTAGCATCAATATCCATCAATATACCATATTACCGTTATGTGGCTTGGGTTCGCGCGTGTAACTATAATTGCAAATTTACAACAAAGTCGCAGGGATCGGTTTCAAGAGATCGGTCATAATCTACGATCGTCATTGAGGTATTACGATGTGTCACATATCCGCGATCATCACCTGCAAGCTCTACATAATTTAGACTAAAAAAAGTTTAAAATGAGAATTAATCCTTACTATTATAATAAATAGTGTCAAATAACACTTATTGCACGAGACAAAAAATGTATCAAAGAAGGTAAAGCAAGGAATATATCATTGCGAATATATTCTCAGAACGGAAAAGTTTGTAGGCGGATAGTTATTGCCCTGAAGTGTGTGGTTATTATTGAATTGCTTCAACGAGTACCCTATGGATGTTTGTGTACGAAACAGGATCCATTTTAACAGCATTCCTGCGTAGCAATAATAATGTAAGCCTTAATCGGGTAAATAATACATGTTTTATTCAATCGTGCTCGAAATGATATCTTTTATAGGACTATATATAATGTGCTTCCTATTTTATGACACATAATTCCCAAGATCAAATTCTACTTCTGCCCCTTCAACTTCTCCGTTGACAATAAAAGTTTCAATAACAGAATAAATAGACATTAATACAAACCATAAATCCGTCCAGAAAAGTAAAAGTGAAACTGGATTAACTTGATTCTGCAACATATAAAAGAAAACATAGTAATCAATCCCGCCCAAAATAATACCAAAAATTTGTGTGAATATGGCTCCAACTGTCGGTATACAAGAAATACAACCCGAGCAAAATCCAACGGCTAAATTAGTAATTACAACTACAATTATGATATGAATACCAGTGTCTATCAGGGACTTGATTGCAATTACTAGACTGTAAATGGCTATCGACCATATCAATAACACAGACATTACTATACAACAAGCACCAACAGGTGGATACACAGGAAGAAAAAGCATTGCCATTGCGAAGGTAAAAATAAAAACTTCAAATAAAATTAAAAAGTTGATTGCAACACGAGTGAAACTTTCTGTTGCATATAAGAACAAAGGTGGGAAAATTAACATTATCAGAATGATCGAGATTGCATTAAACTTTGATGTTATTTTCTCATTCTTTGTGTACACGTAAATTAGTTGTGATGTTATGACAGTTGCGAGGAATGAACCACAGAAAGCTATCATAACTATTGTGAGCTTGGTCAAGCCCTGTGTCATGTAAAAGAATAGAGGCGGAAAAATTAAGATTGTGAATATACCCAAGGTTATATGGGTTATTCCTCTGAATCTTTTAAACCGAGGTATTGGCATAAATGCAATGAAAAGCGTTACGGTCACAATTATGTAGGGAATATATTTTTTTGTCTCAAAATCAAACATATCAGAAAGTGGTATTCTTGCTGATACGATAGGGAACAGACAATCCAGGACAAATAGAATTTTGAAGACTTTTTCCAACATCATATAAGTTATGAAACCCCCCCCAAAGAAAGAGAATATTGATGATAGCAAAGAGATGCCGAATAAATATGTAATGGTGTATATCGTACAAAATGCATATAATTTATCTTGTAAGACCTTTGCTTGTGTTTTTGTTGACTCAGAGCGAGGGAATAATTTATACTATAACATTCTTAAACTGGTTGAAAGTTTGAGTTTCAGGCCACGTAATGATTGTTGAACTGCTTCCTAGCGTCAATGACTATTAAATTTATGCTATACATTACCGCTATATGCCTTAATCGCAGGTTTTGGGCATGCCGATATGATATTTAGAGTTTAAGGGATCTACATGTACATGTACATCGCATTGTGTACAATGCTCAATACACAATGAACCGGATACAACGAATTTGGCTTATAACGAAAACTTTTTTGCTGCACGGAAAATTGTAATACAAAGTTAATTATAAATCCCTCAATATTGGATATACCGAAGGGAACATCTACACCATATTTAAAATTCCCTCGATAAACCGAAGTTTGTGCAACAAATCGTACAAAGGTATGAAGGCTATCATCGTTATATGCTTCTTGTACAACCTTTATTATATACAAGTCAAATATTAAAGTCTTCGCTGAATTGCGGTTGTCAAGTGCTCAATTCACGAAACGGAAATGAGATCGTTTAATCTCATTCAGCAATTGCCGATGGATGAGTAGCAAACTATATAAATATTGACAAAGCTATTGACTTAAACGATAGTTGACACTATCAACAAAGTTGACGGTCAAGAAGACAAAAATGTTCAATCGGAACGGATTGTTACTAGTTCAGAGGCTTTAGTTGGAACTGGTAGCGTTTTGGCATACAGTATATTGCTCAGAAAAATCTTGGAGTAGAATTGTCTGTTGTTAGATTTTGACTAAATTGAGAAGAACAACAACGTCGCATCAACTTGCTTTTCTCTTATCTGGCGTTATAATCTTGTATCCCTGATAATACAGAACTATTTAAGCTTAAACTATTCTTTTCGATTGCTGTTTAAATGACATATTGTCGTATGGTTGTAGTGCTTTCTGCTCATACGATTCTAATGCTATTATTAATCGTACAAGCCAGTTGAATTTGTATTACTATTACGTTTTACATTTGTCACGTGAGACAGGTCTGGAGCTGTTGGCTTATCGAGAATTTTAAATAGTGAAAAGAATGTAGAAAAGATTTGGCCGACTTAAGCCAAAACTGACTTATCGAGACTGTGTCAATCCTCCAGATTATAATGGGCATCACATAATTTGGTTGTATTATTACCATTTGCAGTAAAAAATTTACATAGTCACTCTCGATAAGTCGGACTTATCAGGATTTTGTCCGACTTATCGAATTTTATTTAAATATAAGCAATAGCAATAGGCGAATATCAGTATTTTAACGACAACAAAAATATTATATGCGAATAAAAAATTTCCAACGTGAGCTGCTTTAGAGAAGCATTTTGCTTTCATTCCTGAGATTACTGATACGTTTACTTTTACTGTCAAGATTTTGTTGTAAATAGTTGAATATATTTTGAATGCTATCCAAAGCAGCTATATTTGATATTGTATTGTGTATGGATTCTTCTTCCCCTTCCTTCTCCATCTTCTTCCTCTGATGCTTCCTGTACTGCAGCAATTCATCAATCATATTACCCTAGTGTCAATGTTAAAGTAATCGCTCGCTACAATATCGTCAACGTTCATTTGATGCATAAGTGATTGGACTTCATTTTCTTCAATTTCTAATTCACTTTCTAATTCACTTTCTCCTTCATGCGTTTCTTCGTCAGGCAAAATGCCTGTTCTTTGCCAACAACGATGTATTATACCATCAGTGACGTTATCCCACGCGTGTGCAGTCCAGAAGAAAGTTCTGAGCAACTCCTAGTGAGTGCTACTACCCAGCAAAAACCACATTATAAAAATCGTCCTAAAGGGATAAATAAATAAATAGACTATATTAATATTACAAGTTTATGTAAATTCCCTAAAGGGAATTCCAAAAATTTCTAATCCCACTGCAATGAGGCGCTCACACAGTAAAAGGCGAAAGGTTTATTCGTTCTGCAAGCACCTCGTGGGTAAGGTGGTATATGAACTTATTATGCCCTGATCAATCGGCTGAAAGGGAGAAGTTGTATTTGGTGGAAGAAATACAACTTAATGTTACTTAATTCTTCTATTTCACTTTCAGCTAATTGATGTGATGAAGCATTGTCTATTATAATAAGATGTTTCTTCGCCTTTTCCGCATTTCTCTGTTAAATTGTTTGATCCATGCTTTAAAAATAGAGCGTTGCATCCATGCGTTGTTCCAGTAATATTTACTGCACAGGAAATGCTCGTTTATCAGTACAGTGAATACAGCGTGGATTTTTATAAAAAGCTGGGGTAGTTTGTGAGTTCCAGTCGCATTACATGTAAGAATTATAGTGGTTTTGTCTTTTGGTTTTTTAGTCCACTAATAGGTCTGCTGGCAAGTGATTTATGGGGTTCTAACTTTAGTAGAGACCAGTCTCGTCTGCATTATACACGTCTTTTAAATCATACTGCGAAATTACAGATTGGAGCTCAGTTCTGTATCCAGGTAATTCATTAATCGGCGCACTCGCTGCTTCTCCCAATTTATAATATTCTTTAGTTTTTTGAAGCTTGCCCATCCAGCCCTGTTTAAAAACAAATAGACATGTTTAATGGTAGTTGTGTATAATTAGCCAAATTGATTTACCCGTTGGTTTAACAATGATACGAAAGAAAATTGATATTTTCTTGCGAGGATTTGAAATCAGGAATATTTAACCTTTCGGCGAATTGTATTGCCTTTTGACTTGAAATTGTACCAGTTACTGTATGATCGCAAGATTTACCTAATACTTCTTCCAACTGTGGCCATTCGCAACCACGATTGCATTTTTTATTGGCATCCGTTGAACTTTCGGTAACTGCAAGCCACTTCTCTAATAATATCTCCCCACCGTTGATTTGCCAACACCGAATTTTTTACCAACCTCCTCATACGTTTTAGTTGGATTGTTTACAAGTGTAATTAATTTCCTTTTTTACTTTCAAGTCTAGACGTCTTTCCATGTTCATTTTACAAATGTAAATGGATTTCAGAAGGTTCGGCAGTCAACGTTTTATGAGCTATATATTTAGTCCATGAAAGCGCTGCTCTTCTGAATCATTAATGATGTAATAATTACGTATATTATAATAACTGGTATACTCGTAACATAATACGTTGTTTATGATAGCCACGAGGATTTTTTTTCTAAACAAACAAATGAGGTAATAATTGCGTGTATGGCGTGCAATATCATATTTGCTACGATGAAATTATTCTTAACAAAATCATTGGATAATTAATTGTATTGTATTCAATAAAACGGTAAAGATTATCGCTCAACAATCACGTGGTCCGACTTATCGAGAGTCATTTGTTATTTATCGGTAGCACGGCAGTCATTAATATACATGTGAATCCCAAATGGATTGACAATAGTGTTGCTTATTTTCGGATAGTTTAATAAAACGAAAGAAATTATCGCGCAACCACCAAATCATGTGATTTTGTCGATAAAATTTCAGATTCATCATTCGTGATTTATCACGTAATACGCGAAACAGGCTTTAAATCTATTCCAGGTTTTTTTTGATTCAAAGAACACCTATTCCGGTTGGTCCATAAACTTTGTGTCCTGAAAAAATCAGAGCGTCAATGTTTCATTCTTTAACATTAATCGGTAAATGCGCGATACTTTGACAAGCATCAACTATTATTAAACAATTGGGATTTATTTTTTTAATTTTTTTGGCAATTTCCTTAACGGAATTAATTACTCCCAAACTATTGCTCAGGTGAAAAAAACTAACTATTTTAGTCTTTTGATCAATGCAATTATCTAGTTTATTAATATCAATAATGAAATCTTTATTTAAGGTTAAAAAATTTACTTTGACTTCTTTTTCTTGGGCAATGGACTGCCAAGGATAACAATTAGAACTGTGTTCGAGATGGGTCAGACCTTCTATACAAATGACAACCGGAGAAGAGGTGTTAAAACAAAGGAGAAAAGTAAGCGGGTCGGCTCTGGTAGAAAGCCTTATTTCCAGAAGCGAGAAAAAGCTTTATACCTGGATTTATACAACAAAGATAACAATAAACGTGTAATATTTCAAACGACTGATATCAGTGACGACGGCGATGTTAATGATGATGACGACGATGTACCATTGAGTTGAGGATGATATTGTTGAGGGTTAATCTTTTCCGACAATTTTATACTAATAACTTGTTAATTTCATTTTTTTTAACAATAAAATAAACAATTGGATGTAAATACATTTATAGCTAAATTATTTATTTATATTTTAAAAAGGTTTTTTAACTATATAAAACAGGTGTTGCTTATTTTTGGGTGTTGCTTATTTTCGAAAGAATACGTTATGTGTCCGACTTGTCGAATTTTTTTAAAAAGGGGTGCGAAAAAAATTG